GAGGCAGAGAGAGAGAGAGAGAGAGAGCAAAAGCTCCCCCCCCCTTCATTTTCCATCTTCCTCCCCCCCCTCCCCCAAAATCACCGCTTTGCTGCTGTCCAGAGTTGAGTGATGCTGGGAGAAGAAGCCTGAATTGAATCCAAGTCGGATCAAGTCTTGGGGAGGAGGGGTGCGTGTGTGTGTGAAAGAGAGAGGAGAAGAACACTAACGTCAGAGAAGCGCCGGACCCAGCAGACAGACAGACAGGGAAGGTCGTCCGAGCATCCGACGGCGCCGTTTGGGTTGGACGCGACTCCGTCGAGGAGAGGTCGAGGGAGAAGCGAAGGTAGGAGAGCCGCGTCTGGTTTGGCGACTGGGTCGATGGGTGCCTGTGTGTGTGTGTGTGTGTGTGTTGGCGCGGCGCTCTGACCTGGCTCTCGGCGGCGGGGATGCCGGACTCGAGCTCGCAGAGGGCGCGGAAGTTCTGCAGCTCGAAGTCGGCGTCCACCTGCAGCGAGAAGGTCAGCTCGGAGCGGTCCCGCCGCAGGCAGAAGACCGTCAGCAGCATCGCGGCGCCCCCGGCCCGGCCCCCTCCTCCTCCACGCCGCCGCCGCCGCCTCAGGCCGACCCGCCCGCCAGCCAGGCAGCCCCCCGCGCGTGCGCGCCCCCAACCCCGACCGGAAGGCAGCGAGGCAGGCAGGCGCGCTTGACGGCCGGAGGGAGGGAGGGCGTCGCAAACGCCGAGCGCTGCTCTGCGCGTGCGCAGAGGACCGGCGCCAAACCCCGCCCCCAGGCGCCGCGCGGGCCCCGCCTCACTGTCATGTGACGCCACCTCCCGCTTGGGGCGCCCCAGAGGCTCCCTCTGGAACAGGGCGGGGCAACCGCCAGCAGCCCCGCCCACTCCCTGGCCTTGACCCTGCCAGGTGAGGGGGGCCCCTGCTGCTGCCCCTCCCAGCCCCCCAAAGGAACACAAAACGAGGGTGAGGAGGGGGGAGGCTGCTTTTATTTGGGAAGAGGAAGAACAAAGAAAGGAAGCAGGAATCCCCCCCCCCCCCCCCCGAGGCCGCAGTTCCAGCAGCACCCTTGTGTGGCTGCTCAGTCCGATTTCTCCTTCTCTTTCATGTGCAGGAACACGATGCTGAAGAGAAAGAGGCCCACCATCATGGAGAAGGCGCTGGCGTAGTAAGGGTAGGCGGACGGGATGAAGCGCTCATACTGCGTGTGCTGGAGGGGGCGCACAGACACCTGGCAGGGGAGAGGAGAAGTCAAGGCGCCAGAAGACACCAACCCCCAGCTCTGTGTGTGCACGTGCGTGTGTGCGTGTCTCATCTCTTCTCCCCTTCCTCCCCCTCTGCATGTACCCCCAAGCTGACCTCAGGTATCTTAAACAGTCATCAAGCCGAGCCCCACAGGAGCTGCAGGGAACCACACTCCCCCCGGGGCTGCCTTCTTGCACTGTACCCCTAGAGACTGAGGAACAGCTTTAGCGCACACGGCATTTACACTGTGGGACACGGCCAAGCACCTGGCCTAAGGGGTCTCTCTCCGTTAGCTGTTTTATGGACTCTTCTGTCTTGAGCGTTCATCATCTTATCTGCTTGCTGCTTCCCTGCCCCCTGGCTTGTCTAAATGGTTTTGTACTCACTGAAGTGCCCTAAACAGCTCCCCAGGGAGGCAGCATTTAAATTTCCTCAAAGGTGGTGTAAATACATTCGTCACAGGTCTGCTGGGGAGAGGGGTGTGCTCAACATCCCTTCCCTGGAGGACTCTGTCCTAGAACCGATCTCGGCTGTGGCCCTGCTGGCGGGGGACCTCCTTCCGGGCAAGGCCTGAGCCCAGCCGTAGCGGCCTCATTCTGGCAGGCAACAAGGCAGTCCTGATTCTTCTGCCTTCACCCATTCAGCATTTTAAGCCAGCCATGGCCGTGTATTTTAGCTATTCCGCGGGTGCAATTTTAAGGTAGGTAAAGTGCCACCCAGGCGCAGCCAACTGATAGCCGGGCCGTGGGGTCTTCAAGGCAAGAGGCGAACAAAGGCATCTGGTCACTGCCTGCCTCCGCATAGGAACACTGAACTTCCTTGGTGGTCTCCCTGATGAGCCTGGTTTATTACCCTGCGGTCCAGGAGATTCTTGAAAAGGTAAGAAGGCAAGAGTGACTTGGGCTGAAGGGCCATCTTTCCCCCTCTCCAGGAAAACAAGACCCAAGCCGCGTTGCTTACCTGTGTGGATGAGTAGAGGTGTGTGTAGCCCAGGCGGTTGTAATCTACTTTGAACTGGAATACTCCATAGACATCGGGGAGCTTGAACTGGACGCTATATTTGCCTCCTAGGAGCCAAGCACATGTTGGCCTTTATGGTAACGTACTGCGGCAGCATAAGGAACCCAAGCATGCCCCCCGGGAGCTACCCCTTGACAGACCCTGATCCAAGCTAGCCCAGCCCTGGGCTTCCTGAAGCAGAAGGCGGCAGCTTCAGTGGCTCACAGCTCCTGCTGCGGTCTCCACCCCTCTTCATCACGAACCCATTTCGCAGCTAAGCCGCCTAAGAGGTAGCTTTCCTGCGCCAGACAGGACTGGTTCACATATTCATACAGGAGCCAGTGGTACCTAGTGGCGGGTGTGTGTGTCTGCACGCGTGTGTCAACACTTGCCATCAGGAACTGTGACTCCTGAGCTCAGCTACAAGTTCCCATTTGCACCTGTTTGCTGCAGCCCCATAGAATCCCTCCCTGCCACCGCCCAGGCAGGGACACTTTTGCAAACAGCCACAAATAAGGTGGCTTTATATGTTTGGGACCACTGGTGTGCCCCAAAATGAATACCACAGGGGCCTCCCAGGTAGTTTAGTATTTTAAGGGTACTGTGGATTTTCTGTGCGAGGCTGTGTAACGATTCCTTGTTTTAAGAGTGTGTGTGTCTCTTTAAATGTTTGGTTGCAGTGCAGTGATTGAGAGAGAAGTGTGCTGTGATTGGAGGATGAGAGACTGTGGGAGGAGTTTTTAAAGTGGATCTTTGTGAGTGTCAGTTAGTCAGTTATGAAAGTTATGTATGAAAGTCAGAGTTAGGAAAGACAGTTGAAAAAAAGCAGCTGAAGTTGTTCAGTGGAAATTCAATCAGTGAGAGAGGTGAAAGAATCTGTGTGGGATCCGAGAAGGATCAGTATATGTGTATTAAAGTGATACAGTTGACAAGCTCATTTACAGGAACCTTATTCCCAACCAGTTACATAACAACCAACTTCTTATTTTGTTCCCCTTTCAATAAATCCTCTCTTATTTAAATTAATCCCAGAAGTCATATCAATTATTCCTCAGGACCACAGAGACCCTTGAAAGCCTAGACCCTGGGTCACAATACCAACATAAGAAGCTGAGAGTGGATTTGGAATTTAGAAAATTCCTGGTGGCAGCCAGAACTACCTATTTAATTTAAAGAGAAGCCTAGTCCTCCCCAATAGGAGGTCATCACAGGCTGGTCTATGGTACAAAGGAAGGCAAAATGGCAGCTCACCATTCCTCTTCAGGAAAGTCCTGACAAACGGATCGATGCGGACAAACTCAAGCTGAATGTCATCCCCATCAAAGGGGATCCACTTGCCATCAGAGAGCTTTTCAATTACAATGCTGTATTCCTGCAAGACAGAGGAGAACCATTGGCATGGCAGGAGCCAATGAAATACTTACGAAGTTCCCTCCTGCCCCCGGAGGACAGACACAGGACTCTCACCACTAAGTCAGTGACTGTGTAGGCACTGGGGGGCGCTGTCTCCCCCACCCGATGGTGGGACACCTCTCCAACCCGAAGGACGCCCTCTTCCTTGAACACCCAGCGGGACAAGGCAACGGCCAGCTCGTAGTTCCCCGTCTGGGGGTACCTAAATAACACAAGAGGAGGAGGGGAACAGGAAACCTCAGAAGAAGCCTCCTTCCCTCAGGAGGACCAAAGATGTGGCAGCCATGGATCTTTGCTCCCAGCGTGCCAATACGCCAACTAGTCTTGCTCCTAATAAAGGTTCTCCTGGCAGAGCTGGAACTGGGCCAGACAGACACATTTCTTTGGCACAGAAGGCAGCACTTTGGAACTCAAGTACCTCTGAGAGCCTGGCGTGGCCTTCTGAACAGCAGAGTTGAAGAAGGCGTCACTGAAGAAATCCAGGGAGCCACTGAAAACGACACGGGCGTTATTTCGGGCCTGGAGACCAGCAATCAGGAGCGTGTTCTTCCCAACAGCATGAGGGTACTACAGAAAGACAGGGACATAGTTACCGGGCGGCAGCAGGCTCAGAGAAAGCAGCCTCCGCTCCGCCCCACCCATCCATCCCCAGTAATGAAACTCTGCACCACATCCTCTTAATAAAACGAGACAGGGAGGGGGAGTAAAGATTGCTACGCTCAACCCAGTAGGTTTTTGGGGAGCCTTCAAAAACCCAGGAAACAGATATCTTCAGCCATATACTCATAAAGTGACAATCCCTATTATTAAAACCAGCAAGAAGTGCAGAAAAGAACCATCAGACGCGAACACCCTGGATCAGCCCAGGTCTACTTGCAGCCACCAACACTGGCGGCAGCAGCACCCTGGGGGGGAAAGGTCTGCCCAGCACAGGACCCTGCAGGAAGCCCCCCCCCCACTGCCCTCCCACCCAGGGAGCGGAACTCGGCCGGAGCGCGAGCGTCCTCTCCAGGGGCCCTGCGCGTGCCACACCTGCGTGATGGGCTTGTCGGGGAAGAAGGAGTACGAGGTTGAGGAGCCAGTCAGGATGTCCAGAACCAGAGGGTTGTCCGGGTCAGCCACCATCCTGTGCAGAAAGTGTTCCTTGAATGAATGGAAACCAGCAGGAGGAAGACGACGTCCAGCAGCCAACACGGGGCTGAGCCCATCGCAGTCCTGGCAAGGCGACACCGCCCTCCCTTGGGGATGGACCAAGGACAGCTCTTCACAGAGCTCTGGACGCAATGCCCAACATCAGCCCAGAGGGGTTCTGACGGAGCCCTTAATGTGCACGTTCACAAAGGGAATGGGCCTGGTTTGCCCTCCAGGCAGAGTGAAGTCCGAAGGGATTCCAGCCCAGGAGACTCACCCGACTCCCCGGAAGAGGACGGGGTTCAGCGGCCTTCTCCCCACAATCGTCGGAGCCTTCAGGAGATTTTCGGAGTCTGCCACAATGGGGGGGGGTGGGGGGGGGGGGGGGGGGAGCTGCTTAGAGCTTGTGTCCCGTCGGGCAGAGGGTTTCAGCCGGTGGGGCTGCTTTTCAGCTAAGCTCTGGGGTGCCAAACGGCAAGCCCTCCCCCAGTCCCCGCTTGCTAGCTGAAGGGGCCAATGAGCTTTCTGTCTGTGGTGCTCTTCCTGCCAGACCTGCCCGCCAGGCCTCCACATTACCGTCCACGGCTTGTTTCAGTCCCGGGCCAAGCCTGGCAGAGTCGCGTCACCTCCACCCTGCAGGAAACAGGCGACCGCCCCCAGCCCCCCCCCCCCAGGTTTTGCATCACGCTGCCTTGCCCAGCACCCACCTGGCCCAGGTCCAACACGTCGTAGTTGTGGTGGTCTATGGCAGCTGTCTTCTCCTCATCAAACTCTATCCCGCACTCGCTCCCCAGCTCTCGAAGAGGGTCGCCTAGGAATCAGAGCAGCATCATAACTGGTTAAGGGCCCAGAAAGGGGAGTTGCCAGCCACAGCACCCGCCGGCCTCACAGGAAAGCTCTGCTCAGGGTTCAGAGATAATCGATGCATAGCCAAAAAAACAAAAACGAAGGACTGGGGAGGAAAAAAACAACCATTCCCATGTCATTAGTATTTATTTACAGAATGGGTATCCTGCCCTCACAATGGAAAGGCCATTGTACTACGGGAAATCTCTTGAGGCAGCAGGCTCCAAAGTCTTGTCCAGGCAAAGATTGAGACTATTTCCTCTCCTAGGGTGTGCCGTTCTTTAGAGGCCCTGGCTTAGCCTTCTCAGATCAGAGTTGTCAGCCGAAGGGGGAAAAGGTAAAATCCACATTCAGCAGCCGTGCTTCATAGCTCTGGTGAATCATAATTTGACAAGATCCCCAGAAGAAAGGCAGCGGAGGGAGACTGGCCACACCTGTCTACCTTCTAAGGTTTCCATCCAGCTTCAACAAAACAGGAGTCAGCCAATACCTCTGCCCAACGGCTTCGGCTCTGGTAACGGAAGCTCCTGTTTCATCAAGCCGGCCACAAGGCTCGTTTGTTTTCATCACAACACAACTTTTAAAATGAATTGTAGAGCACCATTTTAGTTTGTATTTATTAAGGTTTTAAAGTAATTTATGTTTTATCTCCGGCGTTGCCGCTTGTTTGCCGCCCTGGGCCGTATGGGTAGGGCGGGATATAAATCCCAAAATAAATAAATAAATAAACAGATTAATATGGCTACCCTGCTGGGTGAGCATCTCTGTCCAAGACAGGGCAAGATGGAAACCAAAGAGCAATAAAATGGGGTTTACTTCCAATTAGGATGAAAAACAGGGTGGGTGTGGGTGGGGGGTTAAACTTTGTAAATGGTCCTTTCCCAGGGTCTAAACTGTTCTTAAAATAACCAGCTGATCTGATTTTCTTGAACAGATGCTGTATCTCTACTATATGTTTAAATTCATCATGTTTAGAGGTGGGAACAAAGCAGAATCCTTTTTTAAGAACTGAAACTTGCAGTTCAGAGAAATGTCTCCTGGATAGATTCACTACCTGTGGGTTTTCTGTATTTTCTTCCCATGTGATATCCTTGACTCTGGTTTTACCTGTTTTTTGCCTACTCTGTCTAAAAAATTGTGTGCTATTGGAGGTGTTAGGCAGGAAGGCACTCGATTTATATGGATTACACCTAGCAGAAATCGTGGAGATTATTTCCTCCCCAGATTCACTTCGGTCTATCTCAAAACCAGCACTGATAGTAGTGTTACTTTCTTTTCAGACTTTTCCTGGTGCCATTTGCCAAGGTACAGACTCTGTCCTCCTCATAGTCCCTCTGAAACTTCTTACGTTTGGTCTCCTTAATCACCCAAGGGACGTGCATGTATGCCTATCTTCATTTCTTCTAATTACCTTACTTCCAATTAGGCCTGCTTAGGATGGCTCCCTAAGTTGTCTTCCCAACTAAAGATCCTCTTGGCCATTGGATCAGCAAACAGTACTCACCAATGTCTGAACTGGCAGCCACAAGAACGCTCCCACCTCCATCAATAAAAGCAGCAATAGTCTCCACGTTGATGTTGCCACCAAACTCTGAAATGAAGCATCCGTGGTGCTTAAGGTTTATTACACAAAATTGCCAGCAGGCACATTCTGCAGTTGGGCCACACATCTGCCCCACAGACATAAACAAACAGCAGGGATTCAGCTTTCCGCCACAGTAAAACTCACAAATTATGTTTTTCAGGAGAAATGAAAAAACAAAAGGAGACAAATAAACCTCTCACCTTCAAGTGTTTGTTGGAATCCTGCAAGGACATGTCAACACACTTCCTAAGCAGCATTACACTTCCCAGTTTGTAGAACAAGAACAATGAAAGCCCCACACAGTTCTCCTACGTGCGCATTATGAGCATTCAAAAGCTTGGCTTCTATACATTCCATGATTCGTGTGAACACTCTGTCTTACCTTCTACAGATGGAGAAAATATAATCAGGTTGTCATACAGGAACTCTCCGTATTTGATGAGAGACAGGCTTGGGTCATCAGCAGTCCTGAAGGTTAGATCAAAGCCCCTGTCTAGATGTAAAGGGGTAGGGAGGAAAAACACATGGAAAGCAGTGAGCAAGGAGAGATCAGGCAGAAGATAACATCAGTCCACCAGTCTGCCAGAAACCACACTCAAGAATGCATTGAATAAATACTAATTACAGCTTATACAGCACAAAGTGCTGAATGGAAGACCTGCCCCACAAGCCAGAGTTCTGCTCCCCCTGGGATCCTGCTTTTCAGGCAAGAGTCAACAGAGTGGAGGAAGAAAGGTACTGTTTTCACAGGCACAGAAGGCTGGCTCTGGTGATGGGGGACAGCGGAGTGCAGCCTCTGGCACGGGTCCGTGTGTCACACCTCGAGGCTCTCAACTGGGTCATCTCTGTCTAAAAGGCTCTCAGGTGGTGGGTGAAAAACCTTTGTTTGCCTAAGACCCTAGAAGGGTAAGACAGGAGGGCCTGGCGGGAGCTGGTCCATGGGGTCGCGAAGAGTCAGACTCGACTGTGCGACTGAACAACAACTAGAAGGGTACTGCCTGGCAGAGGTGGCAAGCAGACCAATGGTCCGACTCCTTTCACAGCTTCATTTGCAGAAACCAGAGCTCAATGAATGAACCCCTGCTTTGCACACGGAAGGTCAGTCTCAGGCTCAATCCTTAGCAGTCTCTCCAGCTAAAAGCTCTCTGGTTGGAGGTGCTGGGAACAACTCAGGACAGACAGCCATGTAGGTGGACAAAGGGGATGATGTACACTCTCAGACTTTTGGAAGGATGACTCAAAGGTACTGCACTAGCTTCTAGCCTGAAAATCCCAAGTTCAGCCTCTGTCACAAGATCAGGGACAGCACGGATCACAGGACTCTTTCTCTGCCTGAGACTCAGGAGGACCACTCAGCCAGTCAAAGGTGACAACAATGAATGACGGCCAGAGAGCACAAGGCCCCGCTTGGGATACTGTGGGCAGTTCTGGACGCCACGTGTCAAAAAGGAAGCTGGACAGCTAGAGAGTGGAGAGCAAAGAGTGACTCAAATTTATTTCCAGTATTATAGGGCTTTTAGACTGCCCTTCCCTGCAAGCAAGCTCGGGGCAGTTTACCACAGCATAAGCTCAATGTAATTAAAACATAACAAACACTTTAAAATCAATGTCAGAATCTACACTACGGACATGGCAGCAATTGTCCATCTACTCCAAGGCGCCCTATGTGTGCCTACAGGTAGACACAGCTAATCTGAGAGTGGGCGCGGCAGATGAGATTAGCCCTGGATGGCATGATGGCAGCAAAGCCAGCCAGCCAAAGCAGAGGAGGCCCATACGGTCTAGGCCCCCGCCGCCACGACCATAGCCCCGGCCGGACATCTCCGCATTAAGTCCCGCAGGGCCTGGCTCTCACTCGGGAGACCGTTCCACCAGGCAGGGGCCCTGCTCGAGGCTAGGCGGGCTTCCTCCAGGCCGGGCCTCCCCAGTGGAGTCTGCTCTGCAGAGCGTAACGGGAGACTGGGGAGCGGCCGCAGGGTCGGTGCGCCCACGAGGCCCAAGGGCGGCGGGGCTTTCCCTCTCAGAAAGCAGGGCGGCTGCCTCCCGCAGGGACTCGCCCGGCTCAGGCTCGCCCGGACCCCCTGAGGTGTCCCCTGGTGTGCGGCACGGAGGGGCCACTGGCCCGATCCAACGCGGGCTTCTCTCTTAGGGCCGTATGTCCCAACGAGCAGCGGCTACGAAGCAACCGCGCCGGCCGAGGGCTCCGGCTTTCCGCACGCAGAGCAGCCACGACTCGCCCGCAGGTGGTCCGAGAGGCGGCCGCGGACCCCTCCGCCCACTCCGCCGCCCGGGGGTCCGCCTGAGTCCCGGGTTGCCTCGGGGCGCGTCGGAGGCGGCCGCCGCCGCCTCCCCCCTCCCTCACCGGCCAGGCTGCGCAGGAAGAGCGAGTGGGTGTCCCTCAGGTTCATGTTCTCCAGCAGCACCAGAGTGCGGGACCCGCCGCCCACCGTCGCCGCCGCCGCCCGGGCCAGGCCCAGCACGGCCACGGCCGCCGTCAGCGCCAGCCACGCCGAAGCAGCCGCCGCCATCTTCCGCCTTCCCTCTCGGAAGCGCCGCTCTCGGGGCCCACCAATCAGAGAACAACACCGCCCCCTCTGCAGGCGGGGCTAAGCCCCATCCTCTAATCGGCCGAGCCGAGTTCCTGCCAAGCCCGCCTCCTGCGCCACGGGAGCCAATCAGAGGGGGACAGCTCCTGTGCCACGAGCCCCGCTCCCCCATGGCCTCAGGGGAAGTTCTTTAGCCAATCGGGGCTCGCTTTGCCTGCGACCAATCCCCGCTCTCTGTTGGCTCGTGGCGACCAATCCGATTTGGGCCGGACGGGATCTGACGTAAAAAACACCCGACGGCCAGACTGACCGTTGTCGCGGCAACTGAGGCGCCCAACGATTTTTTTTAAACTACGGCGGCGGTGACCCCCCCCCCCCCCCCGTTCAGAGCAGACGCGGCAGACAGACGCGGGTTGAAAGCCTTTATTTCGGAGCACAAATACAGCGGCGGGACGCCCCGCCCACGGGAGGAGGGGCTGCCAGGTCTGGGCTGGAAAACACCTGGAGACTTTGGGGGGGTGGGGTTGGAGCCGGGAGAGGGCGGGGTTTGGGGCCGTTTCCTCCAGGGGAGCTGGTCTCTGCCGGCTGGAGATCAGTTGGCAAAGCGGGAGATCCCCAGGCCCCACCTGGAGGCCGTGGCAACCCTAAGGGGGAGCTTCCGTCTGCAGCGCAGAGGCGGGGCCCCCTCTCGTGGGGCTCGGAACCAGCGCTCGGCTGCAGCCTGGGCCTCCTGGGGAGGTCAGACCGCCGGAAAGAGCCAGGGCGGCTCCGGAGGGAATCCATTAAGGCCGCCAAGATAAGGGAGCCGAGGGCGCCACTCTTACGCAAGCGACATGATCGCCGTCCATGGTCCTCTCGCTCTGACTGCCGTTACTTTCTACATCCGTAATTCCATTTCCACACCTCCTTGCATTGTTTATGAGACCTCGTGTCTGCTGCCTGCCTTGTTTTTGGCCTTGTTTTTGCATTGTTTCTAATTCTTGTTATTCCACTCCTATTGCACAGTTTGACTCTACGTAATCTGCCTTGAGTCCCTGTGAGAAAGGCAGGCTACAAATAAACATATTTTAAATATAAGTACTTTAAACAGCAGCATTACTTCATATGGTTAATAAATATGAGCATGCTCACATGACATTTCTTGCAAATGAAACCTGACAGCAGGCAGGCAGGCAGGCACCTATCAGCCTCGCCAGAGGCCACAAGAGGATAAGCCACAAACATTTCGGGGGGGGGGGGGGGGGACACTTTGGAATAAATGTGACTCTTCACAGCATCCTTTAAACCTTTTCATTTGTATGGAAGGAACGTTTCTGCATTTATTCTGCACATGCCCCCCCCCCCCCAAAAGGCAGGCTCTGGAAACTAATGGATGTAATGAAATACTACAAATCCATAAGGTATCATAAGACTCATGGTGTTTTCCTGCAACAGACTAATCTGAATACCCTTCTAGAACGGATGCGTCAATGTATATTAATTTACAGATTGTCTTTTATTGCTCCTTCTCATACTCCAATTTAAAAATATAAGGGTAGGGCTTAAAGGCAAACGTATGAACTGGCTGAGAGAGAAAGCTTACTATAACCACAAGCCTTGAGAATTATTCTTACCAAAAGTAATTAATCAGTGATGATGAATCTTCTACAGCTGAGGTTAACATGATATCTTTCCCTGAATTACTAGAACAATGAAGAGGGTGTTGACCACTCCTTACTGCCCAGAGATGGCGGTGAGGTGCTGGAAGCCTTTGGCTAGAAGGGTTAAGACAAGTTTGCGATGGACATTCATATTCTACTAAGCTGAAACTAGACCCACACCACGGAGGATCTGTACCACACCAGAACCACACGGCTAGCCAGAAAGAGGAAAGCGTGATGCAGCTTGGATATACCACAAAACAGTCTGTACGGTTCTACGTGGATGATGCAAATGATGATCCAGGAGTCCCTTTGCCAAGTGTTAGCCCAGTTCCTGCTGGACCGCCAGAGACTTACTGGGACCAAATAGCCACGAGGCCTGCGAGCGACTCTGCTCTCTCCATTCATTCTCTGCTGAATAATCTTGTTCCTCATAGCAATGGTGTGCCCGGCCTGCAGCCAAGGAGCAGAAGAGGCCCCCTTTCATCCCAGAGTAATGATCCAGCAGGGCTTCCATACTGGGGAACTCCACATTCAAGTGCTTCAATTAAAAAACAAGCAGGGAAGGGGAGAAGAAATAACAAGTTGAAAACTTGCTGTCTCTGTAGTCAAGCTCCACTACCAGCTGTACCGCTATGATGTTAGAGGCTGCATGTTCTAATGGCTGAGAACATTCAGCTGTAGAATTCTGAGAAGTTAGATGAGTGAGATGCAATGCTCCCTCTCACCTGTGGAGTCTTGTGAGCAAAAATTCTACTTTGTGAGCGACTGGCATTAAAGTTGTGAGCAAGCGATTTGGCTACTGCATAAATTAGTTTGCTCTGGATCCATCCTCCCTGAGCCAAGACAAAAAACTGTGAGCCGGAGGCTAAAAAACTGAGCTAGCTCACACTCAGCTTAGAGGGAACACTGGTGAGATGTAGGAGTCGCTTGGGGAAAGAAGGTAGGAGACAAGGGCCCTAAAGGAGAGAACCTACATTTTATACTTTGGACCTGAAACACTCTCTGCCTGGTCTCAAGGGTACAAGCTGATCTTTATTTTTCCATTACAGAGTAATAGAATCTTAAGAGTTGGAAGGGACCTCCAGGGTCATCTAGTCCAACCCCCTGCACAAGGCAGGAAATTCACAAATACCCCACACTCACACACACATACCCAGTGACCCCTTGCTCCATGCCCAGAACGTGACAAAAAAAAACCCTCCAGGTTCTCCAGCCAAACTGGCCTGGAGAAAAGTTGCTTCCTGACCCCAAAGTGGCAATTGGCATTCCCCTGGGGGTATAAGAAAGGGCCACGAGAACTAAGTTCTGAGGCAGCCCTTCCTGCCCTCCCTCTCATGATCTGCCTCAGTTCACAGAATCAGCAGTGCTGTGTCAGTTGGCCATCCAGCCTCTGCTTGACAACCTCCCAAGAAGGAGAGCCCACCCCCTGCCGAGGAAGCCGGTTCCACTGAGGAACTGCTCTGTCAGGAAGTTCTTTCTAATGTTTAGCCGAAAACTCTTCTGATTATATCCAGCTCCTAATAACTTGCTTACCCACATCCATTGGGCCAAGGTGATAACCAGACAAGTTCCATCTAGTCCAGCATCCCGTGTCACAGGGTGACCAACAGACAGCCCATAGAGGCCGAGGCTTCCCCCGATGCTGCCTCCCAGCCCTGGCGGTCAGAGGTTAATTCCATAAGACCCACCCGTTCCTCCCTTGAGCCACTGTCATGATCACCTCATATGGCAGGGATTGTTAACGCCTATTTCCTCAACCCACGGTGGGCTTGACGGGAGGCACAGAGCCGCCTCCCCACCTCTCGGGTCTTACCTCAACAGAATACTTCCCGAGCTGGCTCCTGTAGATCTGGTACGGAATGACTCCACACCTCGTCCTCACCATAAGACACCACTGATTGGAAGAGCCCAGCTCTGCCCAGAGAAGGAAGGCGCCCAGAACGTCATTCCTGAGCAAGGCCAGTCCAGCTTCCCTGGGAAAGGGAAGGGAGAGAGGGATGCAGGGAACCGGGGAGAGGCGGGCAGCCCCCCCTCAGAGAGAGTCATCGGCCAAGAGCACCGTCGGGTGGCTTCCATCAGGGCCATGGAGAGAGAGTGGTAGACCTTCTTCTGACCCCCAGCCCGGGTGCTGCCCCCTGACCTTGGATCTTCTCGGCCAACCTCGGAGGCCCCCTGGAAGGGGGGCACACGGAGGCAGGCGCTGCTCACCTGTCGATCCCCGCAAAAGACCAGACGTTTTCCATCAGGCTGCTCTCGCTGTCAGGCAAGTAAGCCAGGCTGCCTCTGTTCGCGCTGCCATCGCCGCTGGTGTGCACTGCAGCCAGGGGGGGAAAGCAGGGAGGGGGCAGAGTCAGAGCGTGGGGCACCCAGAGGGTGAGCCACCCAGGGGAAGCTCTGCTGCGCACAGGAGAAGGATGCCAAGCGGGGTGGGGGTGGCGCTTCTCGTGCAAAGGGAAGAGCAGCAGAGCCCACTCTGCAAAAAAGGGGTGCCGGCCCCAGGGGTCAGAGGAGCAGTACTACCGGGCCGCCAGATGTTGGCGACAAGCTGTGGGAGCTGCCAGGGACTGCATCTGTGGGCTGCATCTGAGAGAGGTCTGAGGGCCTACAAGGGGCCTGATCCATTGGGGCAGGATGCTGGACACTACAAGCGGTCAGAGAGCAGCGGCCCGCCCTGCTGACGCCAAGAAACGCAACCCCAGTGTGGTGGGCACTTCCCGTGGAGGCCCCAAAGAGTGACAGAGGACTTATCAGGCAGAAAAGTAAGAAAGGTATGGCTACGAACAGGGGAGGCTCCTCCAGCTCCCCCCCCCCCCCCCCCCCCGCCCCGGACTGCTCACCCATCTCCCGGGCGCTCTGCTGCAGCTGAGCTTCAAAGGTGCAGCCCCGATAGGCGCCGGAGCGGAGGACTTTGCTGCGGATGGCCTTCTTGCGCACCAGGATCGGGGAGCAGTAAGGGTTGCCGGGCCGAGAGCTGCCCAGGCTGCTCCTCTCCTCCAAATCCAGCCTCTCTCTCTGGGGACACAAGTCAGGAGGGAGAGGCAGGAAGAGAGGCGGCGGCAGGGAAGTGTTCACACACACACACACACTGCCCCTCGGCCCGTCTGCAAGCTTTGGCGGAATGCCTCCGGGCAGCAGGACCTGTTTCCCATTATGACCCACAGCTCATTTCGCGTATATCTATAACCTGCCACTGGGCCCCAGGTGGCTTGCGAGCACACTGCAATGTCCCTGCCACCGACTGCAAAGCTGGCTCCAGGAGCCTGGCTTCCAAGCCCAGCCACCTTCCTCAAAACTCACAGGGAGGGAGGGAGGGTGCCCGTCTGTCCGGGCTGTGTGCGGGAGGCCACCCCAGACCCAGCAGGCAAAGGATTCTCCCAGAAGAGCCCCCCCCCCCCCGCTTACCACACTGACGGAGGAGCCAAAGTCAGCCGGGCAGGGCAGCCTCCGGAAGGAGACCAGGGCGTTGACGTTCTGTGAGACCTCCTCCGGGCCGAGAGACTCCCACACCACGCGGCTCTCCAGAGAGGGGGCTCCCAGGAGCCTTCCGGGCTCCCTCCTCGGGGCAGAGCTGCTGGGGGCCCAGTCTTGCTCCTCAGGGTGCAGCAGGAGGTAGTGGAGCTGGAACGAGCGGCAGAGCAGCAAGTGCAGCGTCTGGACCTGGGGGGGGGCAGGAAAGGCAGGGGGCATCGCCAACATGTTTCTGCTGCGTAGCTTGGCAGCGGCTGAGACTGGCCTCCCTACTGCAGGGCCGTTCTCTACTGGGGAGGGGCAGTCAGCACTTTCCCCCCATCAGTTAGAAAAACTAGTGACACCCCCCCCAGACCTGTTCTCTGCCTCTCCCACCTCCAGAGAACCACTTCCGTATCACAGAGTTACTCGAAGCATGGCACAGCGCGGGCTGCCTAGTTTTCTTGTGCTATGGCACCTGCAGATGGGACACGCAGCGTTTCTCAAGAGGGAGAAATGCCCCCCTCGAATGCACACGCCTCTCCTTTGGCACCCTGGGGTACAGTCCCAGCACACAGGGAAGCGAGGCCAGGACTCCCACACTGGTCACAAGCCCAAGAGCCCCAGGTACACCCTCTTGGCCCCCGCCTGCCTGCCCACCTCGCTGGGCTCGCTGCCCACAAACACGTGGCAGAATAACTTCCCGGGAGGGCCGAACGGATTGCGGGCCAGAAAGGCAAACTGACAGTCGGCGGGTGTCCAGGTGCTGTAGAGGATGCGCTTCAAGGCATGGGCCATGAGCAGAGCCTGAGGTGGGGAGAGAAGAGCCACCTGCGACCACAGCAAAAACTGACACACACACCGCACCCCACCCGCCCTGCTCAGAGGCTGTGGCTGAAGAACACCCCCCCGCCCCCTGCCCCCTCCTTGATCCTCAGAAGAAGACTGTGCAGCCGGCGGGGCGGAGAGCAAAAGGGACACACACAGACAGAGGCACACACACTGCCAGGAGCCCTGCCCGTTTGGCTTCTGCTCCAGTGACCTCTCCTTTCTTGGCTCATCCGTGGAGGAGCAGCTGGCCTCACAAGCCAAGACCCGCCTGCGACCACACCACCTACCTCTCCCTCTGTGCTGTACATTTTCAGGCCCTGCAGGCAGAACTTGAGGATGACGGGCCGTCGCCTGGGGCACTCCTGCATCCGGGAGGGGGGACAGGACATGAGTGAGCCACAGGCCTCTCCCCGAAGAAGCAAAGCCCCAAGAGGGGGTGAGGAGGTGGACTGCCTCAGGGGTACAAGGAGGAGGTCCAGGGGGGCCACAGCCCTGGCACCACCTCCAGTGGAAGGGCCTCCTCAGGCAGCAGTCCCCAGCCGGCGAGCCCAGAGAGCGGCTGCCGGTCCTCCTCCATGAGCCAAGGGCTGGATTCTGCTCAAGGCAGCTTCACGGGGGGGGGGGGGGGGGGGTGGCTCTGTGTCAGAGAGCACCTGCTTTGCGTGCAGGAAGGGACACCTTCAGCCCTGGGCATCTTAAGCCATCCCAGGCTGTAAGGCTCGGGAGAGACCTGACCCCTGCCAGGGAGCCTGGGGAGCGGGCGGATTGGCTTCCTGAAACATGGAGGGTCAACAGCTGAAGTCTCCCCCCCCCGGCTCTGCCGCTAAAGTACAGGCACTCTGCACCTGCTCAGAGGCATCAAGGCACCCTGTTCTCACCTTCAGGCACTGGAGCTGCTGATGGATGGTCTGCACCTTCTGCTGAAGCTCCAAGTCCTCAACAAGGAATGAGCCCACGTACTGTGTGTGCAAAGGTCGGGGGTGGGGGACCGTGAAGAACACGCCAGGAAGCCCAAGTCCCTTCCAGACCTCCCAGGTGACATCCACCTGGGCTTGGCAAAGGGGAGGCGCGGGAGAGGCCTTCCCTCAGCATCCCTGGCCCCCCACCCCCAGTTCAGGCTAACTCTTCCCAGCGACCCCTGAGCGCTTGGCTCCAGCGGACTCTCTGCAAGCTCTGTGTGGCGGAGGCCCTTGGGGTGTGCTGCCCTGCCCCCCCCCGTGTCCCAGGAGGCCTCCCACCTCCACCTTTGCCGGGGCCGGCTTCTGATTCCCCTCTAGCCTCACCCTGGACCATAAACCTGGCGCAGCAGGGGGTAGACTTGCCAGGCGCCCTCCCCCCCTCCCCCAGCCACCGGTGGCGGATGGGGAGGCAGGGTTTCCAGATCTAGGCTGGGGATGGAGCCTGGGCAGGACAGGGACCTCAGTGGGCACAAGGCCCCACAGCCCACCCTCCAAAGCCTCCGTTTCCCCCAGGGGAAGTGATCGCTGTAGTCTGCCACCAGACGGGTTCTGAGAGACGGTGAGGGCAAAGAGGCCCGTGGAGAGCTCTCCGCCTGGGCTTGTCAACTCCAGATTGGGAAGTTCCTGGGGGGGAGGGAGGGGTGGGGCTTGGGGAGGGACTTCAGCGGGGTACGGTGCCCTCGAGTCTCTGAGCGGTCGTTCCGGGAGGCCTCCCGGCCCCAGCTGGAGGATGGCAACCCTGTGCTCGCCCCCGGCCTGGAGGCAGGACGAGGCCTCCGCGCGAGCAGGCGGCTTCAGCGCTCCCGCTGGGACCCGGCCGCGCCCCGTGCCAGGGGGCGAAGCAGCCTCACCTCCACCAGCTTGGAGATGACTCGGCCCCTCTGCGCGGGGGGCGCCGCTGCCGCCGGCTCCGGAGCCCTGCCGCCCGACGGCTGCCTCTTCATGGCTGCTTCGGCCGGCGGGCGGGCGCGCGCCCCGGGGAGCACCCGCGGGGGCCGGCCCGGGG